TATGGTTTATTATGAGTTGGTTGGGAAACCATTACTTACGGGTTCCATTCAGGTATGTTGTCCATCTCAAATATATGTCACACTGATTTCCTTCTGCTCAACCTCTATTTTTGGAAGTATCTGCCATTTTTAGAATCATAAAAACAAACTATGTTAGTTGTTGTTTGGGACCACAGTGCATATTACTTTTGCAATGTTGAATTAATAACCAATTCGTATTTCAATTGCAAAAAACCAAAGAGACTCTTATCGACTATATCAAAAGAGGATATTGTTCCGACACTAATCAAATAATCATGTACAAATGAAGAGAAGACACATCATGGCCAGGGCAAAATCAAAATAAAAGGGTGTTCGGAAGTATAAATACTTATGCAGACAGCAAACATGTGGTACAACTACAACTGGCACACGCAGCGATGGGAAACCTCCAGATGGGATGGAAAAATCGTTTCCAGTAGAGTTGTGCAACCTATCAGTGCAAACGCAAAATTGAGCCTGCTTTGTAATACAAAGCTCAAACAAAATCCAGCACACAGCTAAAGACGTCTGCAACAACTAAGGAGTTTTCCAGATTCAGTTTAATCGAATCAATGCATAAAAGTTAAATCAAATCAAGAAGAACTAATCATGTCCCTTATTTAAATACATGAAACCACATTGTATCAGAAGCATGGAAACTAACGCACCTGTGGACTGGAGCTTCTCAGAGGCCTGATAAACCTTCGCTGCTGTTGATGAGAGGAAAGAAAATAAAAATGTGAGATGCTGGCAAAATATTGAGAATCAACTCTTGGGGATTAGAATATTGTCGGCCAGGCAGATAGGACAGCCAAACCCGACCATGCAATGAACCAGTCTCCGATTGATGTCTTCGCCGGGAACTGAACACGGGCGCCGAACGGAAGAGGAAGTGGCAAAATCTTGAGAATCAACTCTTGGGGATGCGAATAGTGTCGGTCAGGTAGATAGGAGGACAGCCAAACCCGACCATGCAATGAACCAGTCTCCGATTGATGTCGTCGCCGGTAACTGAACAGAGGTGCCGAAGGGAAGAGGAAGATGAGGCGGAAACGTTTTGTTTTGTGTTTGATAGACTGTATTTCGATGGTTTTAAGTGAATGTGTGTTCTGGCCGGCCAAACCCAACTAATGGGCCTCTATCAACAGCCCAGCCTTACAACTAGCCGGCCAACGGGGAGAACGCGCCTGCTGCACTGTTGGGCCTCTTCGGTGGTCGTAATATTGGTTGTTTCTGATCACAAGCCCTCAACTGCAAAAAGAGTTCTTCAATTCTTCTACTCGTCGGGCCCTAATTAGACAGAACTCTAGGTCGACTTCGATGGAATGGGCCACGAGAAAGTCCAATCATGGTTTGGTGTTTCACAATGGACACCGCCACTATTATATAGGTAAGTGAATGTGTGTTCTTCTCCATTTATCGATGTGGTAGAAATAAAGAATAATGTATGCTCTTCTTCCATGTCCAATTGTCCATCCAATTAGCTTCTTGTCTCCTTTTCCTTCGAATTGGTCTCATGGAGAATGATTTTACATGGATTGGGTTATTGTTATTGGCTGAAGATTTCTACGCCTTTATATATGGTGCCCAATTAGACATTTACAAAAAAATTACAACCTCTAAGGCAATAAAATATGGACATAGAATTATATAATTGATAATTGAACCCTAAACCCTGAACCATAAACACTAAACCATGAACCCTAAACCGTATACCCTGAACCCTGAACACTAAACCCTATACCCTGAACCCTGAACTCTGAACCCTGAACCTTATACCCTGAACCCTGAACCTGAACACTCAACCCTGAACTCTAAACCCTAAACCCTGAACCCTGAACCCTAAACCCTAAACCCTAAACCCTGAACCCTGAACCCTGATCCCTAAACCCTAAACCCTAAACCCTAAGCCCTAAACCCTAACCCCTAAACCCTAAACCCTAAACCCTGAATCACAAATTTCCCATACAAATTTTTCACCACCAATCTGTAGAATTCGAGCAAACTCAACCTAACCAGTTATTTAGTGAATCTGTATAAACTCGAAGTTGTGGGCGGGTATCCACGGGTCGATAGGGATGGCAATGGGGCGGGGGCGGGTACCTCAGTTCTTCAACGGGTTTAAACTCTAATCCTAAGTAGATTTTATATCTTAGATTTTGTTAATGCTAACACACCAAGTTCATATTTTGATATTGCACACGATTTCCACTTGTACCTATACATTGATATCACATCGTACATACTTGATACATGGTCTAATGTGGGTTTTTAGGTCAAGAACCTTGAACAATAGAGTATTAATCTAATGAACTTATACGAAAAAGAACCTCATTTATATGAGCGGTAACTTTAAACAATTTTCTAGATACTTAAATTGAGGACATAGGTTTAGAATTTGAAAAAAATAAAGAAACAATAAATATAAATTTTCATTCCCCTATCCCGCCATTTATTTGTTTTGGATTTTCCCAAATCTTGAACCAAATAAAAAGATTTTCCCACCAAATCATGAATTTATTAATTTATGCAGCTTTGAAATAGGAAAGGCTAATTAAACCATAAAGAAAAAAAAGGAAAGACTTGACCGGATGGAACACGATGTCGTACAGGACAATAGAATGAGGGTAACTTTACCTTCCTCATTCGCATACTTCAGTCTTCCTCAGATCCACCCACTTCCTCACCATTGTTCCTGTGCAAAGGCTAACGAAACCAGCACGAAAATCCCAAATCCTACCCTAAAAAAACGACAATCCAAAGATGGAGCTCCAAACAGAACCGCGACGGAACGCGTGCTCGGACTCGCCCAGAAGGTCCTGTTCGCTCTTCCCTCTCTGCTCTCTCGATTCCATTATAGCTTGACGATTTTGGTTTCTCATTTCATTTCATTTCATCTTGGTTGGCAAGTTGTTCGGATTGCAATCATGTTAGGAACATGCACGGCCAAGGCGTCAACCAATCCCCTCCGTCGCTCCTTCTTCATCAAACCCTCAAGCCCTAACTCCAATATAAGCTCTCCGTCGCCGTCTTTCGACTCCGGCGGTGTCGCCGTCTTTCGACTCCGGCGGCGTTGCCCTGGCTGCCGGTACATAGCCCATGGCTCGGAACTGCTGCACCTTCTCGCCATTGAGGGAGCTATGGATGGGGGAGTTTCTCTGAGCAGGCATACTTTCGCCATTGTCCTTCTTCTTCTGCTGCTTCTGAGTGAGTTCCCAGCTTTAATTTATTGAGTTGTAATGTGGGTTCTTGCTAGTTAGCCCACTATTTGTTTTCATGGACTGCCGTTGCAGCTGTGGTTAGATGGGTATGCTTAGCCTTATGTTTGGCTGGGGTTCTGATGGAATTTTCCTGCAAATTTAGAAGCTGACCTTTTTCCTCGTAAAGATTGTACCTTGCATTGTTTAATTTGCTTTCCTTACACTTGTTGTTAATTTAGCTGCTTAGAGTTGAGAATTTGCTTTTGGCAGAAGGGTTTAAGTAGGTTTGGGGTTTTGACTTCTGTAATGAAATCAACTTGTCAAAAGCCTGATAATTTCGAAGCCGTTTTGGCGATGTGTTGCAATTATAGAAGTTAAAGTTGAATACTTTGATCACTGGTGTCTAGTTCATTCTTTGTTCACCACTTAGATTGGAATCTTTTAATGGAAGGCATGGAGATGTTCTGCTTTTGGGGAGAACGATCCAGTTTATGGAACCTTGTTTCTACTAATTAATTGTCTGTTCATTTCGTTATTCGATGGCCAAATCGTAAGTAGGCTTGAATTTGTCCTGACATGAGAGTTTGTGATCATGGCTACTGTAGGTTTTGAAGGATGCAATTCCATGGAACCTTTGCTCCCAGAGTTATCTACTAATGCAGCTCCTCAGCCATTTCTTCCTCTCCTGGCACCTTCCCCTCTGACTCCTTTCACAAAAAACACAATTCCACGACTATCAGGTTTGGATTCGGTCTTACTCAGTAAACCATCACTTATTGCCTTCCAAATTTGGACCGACACCATTCTTTCTGACTTGCTGCTTTCTGGTTCTTGCTTACTTACCAGGAGAGTGTGCATTGAACTTTACTGTCTTAAGATGGCTTGCTAGTAAAATGGATTCTTCAAGAGCAAAGGAGGTTCTCAGGGGGCTTACCAATTGCAAAGTGAACAAAGGTAATGTGGGAGATGAGGTTTTGTTTTGTTTTACAATGGGCCAATTACATAAATGTTCCTGAGGCTTTGGAGTCGCTATCAAATTAGTCATTAACTTACCATTCAAGGTTGCTAAGAATCGAAGTTCATGACCGATTTTGTTAGTACCCCATAGTTCAGATAGGCCCATTTTACAACTTTCAAATGTAGAAGCATTCATTACCCTTCTGCTTTCTTTGCTGCAGTTTGCCCTCTGGTTTTCCCTGACATGAAACACGTCACCAAGGAATGTAGCAACACCATGCGAAACCAGACAGAATGTTGTCAAGCCATGGAGAGCTATGTGTATCACTTACAGAAGCAGAGCCTCATTACAAGGTTTCTCACTCCAAGGTTTGATTTTACTCTGACCAAAGTAGAAGTGTTCTAAGCTCCATGAGTTTCTGATAGCGCATTGCTAACACAAGGTTTCTTTTTGGTAATTTTCACCATTTGATGGTTTTGTGGATCGACCAACCATTCTTCATGGATCAGTTGCAAGAGAAGGTAATTTTGACTCTCTTGTTTGTAATTACTTTGATGACAGCAGTTTCTTCCTCATGAATTGACTCATTGAACTTGTTATCTAACTTTACCTGGGCAGAATCTGGATGCCTTCTGCCAAGTTTGCCCTCTGATGCAACATTTGACCAGCGCCATGGCCCATTTCTTCACAGTTATCAGCATCGTCATGCAATGCGGCCGAAACAGGTTTATTTCTAGAGCATCCAACTTGCCCTTCCTTTATACTATAGGAGGATGGTTCAACTCCCTTGCTGACTCAAAGCTTCTGCTTTAATTTGTCTGAACAGGTTTTTGTCTCCAAGCATACTTCAATGATCGATTTCATCGTCTTGGAACAGATGACTCCATTTGCTGTCATCATGCAGAAGCACCCTGGTTGGGTTGGTAAGTGATTTGGTCAACCAACGATTTTGTAGATAAACTAAATAATAGGATGATGATGCAGAAAAGAATGATCTATTTTGCTGTTATGCTGTATAGGACTCCTGCAGAGCACCATATTAGACAGCTTGGGATGTATCTGGTTCAATCGTAGCGAGGCAAAGGATCGTGAAACTGTAGCCAAAAAGTAAGTCCCCATTACATAAAACATATTTAACTTGCTTGCGTAGTAGTCTCTCAAGGTTGCTTTAGTAGCAACTTTTTTTTATATTTTAGGTCGCAGAATGATCTAAATACTGTTCTAAAACCAGAATATCCATGATCTTAAAGAACCAAAAAGTACCCAAAAAAGTACCAAAAAATACCCAATAAAACACCCTAACAACCAATAACTCATAACATCCAATCAAATAACTCAAATAGCCAAGTTGTTTCTCCTTTGCCGTTCACTTCTCGTACGTGGCTTCTTCTACAACATCGAATACACTAACGTTAGTACGAAAAAGATATGGATGCAACAATATTATGTAGACATGCACAAGGAACTCTTAATATTACCCTTTGTTGGTCGTCAATGTCAGTAGTACCATCATCCTCAGCACTATCCTCCTCTGGTGACTCCGGACAAGTTCTTCTATTGTGTTGCGTTGAACCGCATCTTCTGCAATGTTTTTGTCTCGCCTTAGTTAATGTTTCTGTCTGGTTTTGGATGTCCATGGCATCACCATCCTCTCCGTCTTGATCGCCATTGTTATTGTCTTCTTCCTCACTCTGTGGGGTTGTCTCTGTAGTAGTCGGCCTTACATACCCAGGAGGGTGTGGACAAGTGGATTTATAATGAGCCCATTCCCCGCATCTACTACACTGTCTTTGCTCTCCTTTCTTCTTCTTCTGCTTGTTTTGTTGACCCCCTGAACCTTTATGTTTCACCGGCAATGGATCCAACAACTTCTCTTTTGCCTTCGATCTATGAACATCTGGTATCTCAGTAGTACCAATGTGCATCGTGTCTAGCGATTCACATAATGATGAAATTCCTTCACGAGCAAACTTGAAGCAATCACTAGATTTTGCTCCTTTTACGCATAATTGTAAGCTGGCTTGATGAATAATCCCATACCTGAAAGTCAGCATAGTTTAGTTAATGCAGAATATACATGACAACTACAACTAGAGCTTTTATAAGTATCAAAACCATATGAAAACAAGTCGGCTGGAAAGTATAGCTCATGATATCATAATCAAACCTCCCCACCAGCTCAGAATACTCCAAAATGATAGGGATTCTTTAGTAGAGAAATAAAGTAATAGAGGAAACTTCTCAATTTCTCTGATCAAACTTTTTCTCTGATCAAACTTCCCAATTTCCAGCCAACCTTGTTTATGGTTTTCCTCAAAGGGGAAACTTCCCAATTGCATTGCCATCATTGCTAGCTAGCTAGCTAGGCTGAAGCTAGCCTCCACAGCCCTGATAATAAGACAATTAATAAGACAATTAATTGCTTTATAGAATAATCACAAACCTGAATGTGAAAAGTCGGCCCTCATCGATATTATCTTGTTGCGGTAAACTCTCCAGTGTCTTTGGCTGCTGTGACCACCTTAACCGTACCAAGTCTTTTGGAAGTTCCAGTATCCCCTCTTCTTTTAGTAGAAAAACCATATGACAGCATGGTATCCCCATATAGTTGTAATAATTACAACTACACTCCATGGAAAAGGGGTCAGTTGTGTATTCGACCCGGAAAACCTTCTCTTTGCCAGACATTGTCATCCTGTACGTGCGCTCATTTGGCGATACCTCTGAATCCATTCTTATGCAATCTCCAGACTTTTCAACCTCATCTCTAAATAAAAAAAATGCCTTTTTTGTGAATAAGGCAGCAGCACTCTTCTGAAGTTATACTAAGACATTGGACGTAATGCTCCGTTCATGATGAATGGATTCAAAATCAGCGTGTAGCTCAATCTCCCTCATATCTCTACTCCAACGATCAAAATTAATAAAAAACTCAAGTAGATTGTTATCATTTTGGATATAATTGGTCAGCTGGGAGTTCATTCCTTCACATCTAGAGGTTGTTGCCAAACCTGCAAAGAACTTAGAGCCCAAGTATGTATACGCCCATTCAGTTCTTTGGTTAAATAGATTGGAAACCCAATTGTTGTGCTGCAGTGAGCACTCTTCAACCAATGATTTCCACTTAGCTTCAAAATCTGATGGTTCCAAGTCAGCTGAAACAAAATACTGCCATCGAGTAACAAAAATAGGAAATTTCTTCAATCTACTAATAATGGTCTTGTCTATGTGCCAAGAACACAGACGGTGTTTTGCATCGGGGAATATTTTTTGAATTGCATTGCATAGATTTATCCCCATCCGTAATAACAGTCTTAGGAGCTACACCGCCCCCCACCCTTCTCTTCAAAGCATCCAAAACCCATACATAATTTTCTTCTTTTTCATTAGCTAGAAAAGCACATCCAAATATGCAAGTGTTTGAATGGTGGTTCACACCTAAAAGTAAAACCAATAAAATGTTATGAAAAGAAGCAAAATAATAAGAGAAATTGTGACTCTAAACTAATGTTATGAACATCCAGCAACACATCCAAACCCCTACTGTATTAGGCTTCTAAAATCAAAAGGAGGTTAATATATTATGAAAAAAATGACATGATTAGTACCTGAAAAAATGACTAGAGGCATCTTATAAATGTTCCTTTTGTACGTCGCATCAAATGCCAGTAATTCTCCAAAACATGCATAATCAGCCACCGAAATCGAATCTGCCCAGAACAAGTTAATAAGCCTGTCTTCACCATCTTTCTTTAGTTCAATGACGAATTGTTGGTCGGCACTAAGTTTTGCTTGTAAATAGGCCAGGGCTGTAGCAGCATCACCTTCACGAATCTGTTCTCTTCGTTCTTTGTCCACATAGTTATATGCATCTTTCCTTGTGAACCCCACCTTCTGATAGCCTCCAGCTTCTGCAACGGCTATTGAAACGATTTGATGCGTTTTCATGCCTGCAGCTCTTCGAAAATTAATTGCCGCTTTAATTGCATCACTCATACGACGATTCCCTTTCATGTAGTGCTTGTACATCTGGGGAATCAGTGCATGAGAGTGTTCGTTATCAAAAGTGTCCACAAACCAATTCGAAGTAGACTTGTCATATCGAACACGCATCCTAGCATTGCAGTCAAACCTTATCTCTGCTCTTGGCTCTCTCTTTCGTGCTGTCTGTTTTTTACGCCTTTTTCCCTGACAAGAACATACAAACCAGCGCCATATCGGGACATTGTCCTTATCTCGACCGATTTCCTCTTTTCTAACATCAAACCCAGTGGCCAGCCCGTAGTCCCTCCAGAAATCATATGCTTCATCTAGATCTTTGAATCTGAGTTTCATAATATCTTCTGTCTGTAGAAGTAGTAGATTGGCAAAATCATCTTCCTCAAAATTTGAACTAGTATCCCCGTTTGGAGGAGTTCCCTGCGCTGCCATGTACTCGGTGTTAGGATCAGAAGAATTGTTGTCATCGTTTGGATGAGGTTCATCCGCTGCCATGTCCTCCTCGGTGTGACGATTATTAGCATCATTGGCATCGTTTGGATTAGTTTCCTCCTCTGCCATGTTCGTGAGATGCTTTGTGCAACTCTGAAAATCGCAGCTAACAAGTATTGATTTCCCTACGCCTCTAGGGATCTCTTACAATATATTAAGGGGTTTGATAAAAAGAGGCCCTCCACGTCAGCCCTCAAGCATTCTCCGCAACTCTCGGTCATCCGAATTTTAATTTTTAAATTTTTTAAATATTTTCCTCTGTAACCGTTTTCCCGAGGCCTTCTTTGTTCAGTTTTGTAATAAGGCTTCCCGCATTAGAAATAAACTGGCCACAATTTTTCTCCTTCCTTTTCTGTTTAATTAAATAGATTTGCCAATCCGATACTCTCTTTTTTTAACATTAGTCAAACCCAGACCGAGGTCCGTATACATAGTCAGAGAACATAATCTATTCAACTTCATAAAAAAAAAAATAGTCAGAGAACATAATCAATTCACAGGCGAAATTCGACTAGTTTAATAGAAATTTATGACAGATGTAGTTTCCATGTTCATAACAACTTCTCTTATTATGTTTCATTAAATGAGGGGATAAATGTAGAAGTTCCCTGAGTCCGAATAAGACTTGCCACAATGAACTTCTACGCTTCTACTTTATTCCTAAAGAGAGAGAGAGGGGTTAAAAAGCCCCTATGTCTCGGCTATTAAACCACACCATTCGAATGACAGCCAATACCTCTGCCTAAGCACTTAATTAAATCACAAACTCCCTGTTCCATTCGAAAGTTAGCACAAGTCATTTGCGTTTATAACATCATGGGGAAGGAAGGGTATAGTTCTTCAATACTCTTTGTAATTACTTTTAACTTATGTTATGTGATTTTGGTGTTTTTGTTCTCCTCGTCCACATGTTGATTTTTTATACAATGATATTAGGGAGGAGATCAATATGGCCAACAATATTTCTCGCGGCCAGTGGACTACACGGCTAACGCGTTCTGCATCAAAGGCTTTGAACTATGTATCGCCCGCGAAGAAAACTAAACTGGGAGATGATGTGACCCCCCCCCAAGGACGCCGTGCTCGAATGTGATTGTTCTTGACGGTGAATCTGGAGTTGACCATTACGAGAAAGATGTGGGAAACAAAAGCAATTTTCCAGCACAACAATTGTCGACGAAGGTATGGTAATCCAAAGTAAACTAGATAACTTAAACCTGGCAGTTTCACTCCATGATTCCCTCTTCGTGATGTCTATATTATGTTTGGGGTTTGATGGTTCCACCTGTCTTCATAGGATCTCTCTATATGTGGTTGGTTTAATCCTTACTTGAATCCTACTGCCATATATGAGAGTTGAGTTTGGGGTTTGATGAGATGGAGGATTAGAAAAGCACACCAGGATTGTTAACTCTCTTAAAATCAGTGGGAGAGGTTAGGTCAACAGCTAAATTGCTTCAAAAGCTTTGTTTGTTCTGTTTTTGTTTCAGCTGGTGATGTATGCATACTGAACTTTCTCAGTATTGAATGGCTTGAGTTTCATTTGAATGCCACTTAGTAGATCTGCTGTTTAATTGGCCTTACTGGATACTATTATATGTTTCTAGCAATCACTTTGGTTGCTGTGCAAGTTTACT